TGCTCTGCGTGATCCAGCAGCTGCCCCTGCAGCCTCATCTCTCGGGACTAGTTCTCTGAGTGATGCAGGGCTGGATCTATGACCCCTCCTGGAATCCCTGAGGTCATGTTTCCATCCACAGAGGGAGAAAAAGCGAAGCCACCAGCAACCCAGCCTCTCTGAGCGTGGCTCACCTCAGGCTTTGGTGCTGGGCTGCAGTGCTCCTGCCACTCACAGATCTCAGTTTGCTCTGGGCATGGACGATCCGCGGTGCAGCATGTGGCCATGAGCAAGCAGAGTGTGGGGCAGAGGGGCAGGCGCCTGATGTTTTGGGAGACCAGAAGGTTCCAGCCCAGCACGTGGCCCTCCAGGTGAGCCTGATCATCAACATTCAGGGCCCCTGTCCAGCTACCTTTTAAATACACGTACATGGGGGAGCATGGTGTGCACACCTGGTGGCCCAGCTACTGAGAAGGCTGAGGAGCAGGGTCACAAGTTTGAAGCCAGACCCCATGACTTAGCGAGCCCCTGTCAAAACAAATAGTAAACCGTACAGGGAATATAGCTCTATAGTGGTAGAGTGCCTCTGCGATCCGTCCCCGGTACTGCAAAAAATAAAAAAGATGGTCACAGGCTAGAGCTCAATGGTAGAGCACTTGCCTAGCAGGTGTGAAGCCCTGGATTCTATCCCAGYACTACAAAAATTAATAATAAAAGTAATTCCACAACTGCAGAACATAAACATTGTTGGAAATATGGAAAATGTGAAGAAGAAAATGTGAATGTCCATAATCCTAAAACTCAAAGTTATCTACTAATATTCTGGTTCATTGGTTTCTAGCGTCCTCTATGCCTTCTAAAGTTTGTTAGGCAGTTCCGTGTCGGCTTTTGCTCCTTTCCAACTCACTAGAGCACCTCAGGCCAGACCAGTCCTTCTTAAATGTCACTGACAAAGGGGCATCTCCTGAGTCCCCACAATTATTCCTGCTGTCAGTGACCCACATGAATCCCCTTGCATTGACCTGCTCTATGTGCTGCGAAGGGTGTGATCTCCACAGCAGAGCTGCTGGCTCTTGTGGTGACAGGTCCCTGACAAAACCTGAGATCACTGCCCAGTGCCCGGCTGTGCTCAGACTGGAGGCCACGTGTGAAGTATGCCACTGCCCACCCTGACCTTAAGGAGCCCACCCCAGCTCAGCTGCCCAAAGGGTCCTGACAGCGTCTTGCAGCCAGGTGGAACTAGTTACCCAGGACACGAGACAGCCATTGGAGCGGCTGTGCTGCCCGTGACACTCTTACCCTGTACTCATGTGACAGCAGGATGCACTACTCCAAAGGGATGGGGGGGCGGGGAACGCGAGAAGCACAGAGAGGGGACTTGGAGGGAGCCGTGGTCCCTGATGGCAGGGCTGTGCGGTTTCCTACACTTGAGGTCATGAGCTGCTGACGATGATAGATCAGTAAACTTTGAAACAAGGCCATTCTTTAATCCAGCCCAAACTCAACTCCACGTGCCACGGCTTTCCACCTTGGTTTACCAGCTGGGCCTGCATGGTGCCTTCCTGGCCACACGCCGGGGCAAGGACTGAGCCTTTCACAGCTTGGTCACCCCCACCCCACTCAGCACCCAGCACTCAGGAAATGTGGAAGTCAGATGAGAGGAACAGGCCCTCTGTGCCCAGCAATGCTCCTGGGAGCTCAGAAGGTAGAAGGCTCCAGGCATCACACCGGCCAGTGAGGACGAGGGTAAGAATGAGACAAAGAGCACACAAGGCACCTGCTATGATGACCATGGAGGCAGGGACAGCATGGACAAGCCACATCTGCGTACAGTGGAGGCCCCGCCCACCAGTCAGCACTGAGCTGGATGAGCAGGACTGAGAGAGTGACAGGGAAATGACAGCACATCACCGACTGCCACCATCTAGAGTGGGGACAAGACTTCATCGACCCCAGAAACTGAGGAGCAGCCATTAGCTGTGCCCAGTTCATGACCAGGTTAGTAATAAAGTAAGCTGCACAACTTACCTGCAGCATGCGAATCGGAAACACAGACACGGCCCCAGCCCCCCAAAACCACATCAAAGACAGAAGTGGGGGCTGGGGACGTGGCTCAGGGGTGCAGCATGCACTCAGCCTGCACAGGCCCCGGAATTCAGTCCCCAGCATCACAGAAAAAGAGAAGAAATACCATAGTAAAGTGGAAATAAGAAGCGCTTGACTCCTGACCACCCCAGAGCTTCAGGGAGCAGGTGAGTCACCCTCCAGCAGCTGTCCCACCCCGCACCTGTCAGCACACAGGCTGAGCACGCATGGAGGGGACAGGTGGCTCCTGGGGAGGGAAAGACCAGGACCGCGTGACATGCCGTGTGGCCCGCCTTCTCTGAAGTTCGGAACTTCACTTCCAGCAAGTTATTCAAGGAAGTATTCTAGATACATACAGAAAGTACAAGCACTGCCTCTCACATAAAGAAGGAGAGGATCCAAAAGGGTTTTAAAAACAAGAGGGAGAAAAGAAACACACGTGACTGTTAAACACACCAGGAAACGCCCTGCCTCCTTCACGGAGAGGTGGTGAGGCGGCATCGGCATGTCAGCCGCAGCTCCGCAGGGTGGGAGGGCAGGGAACGCCACACCTGGGCCCCTGTGGCAGGAAGCACGCTATCTTGGGGGGCGGTTCAGCACATCTACCAGAACCCCCAGCGCACCTCTGATGCCACAGGTGCACGGCGAGGATTTGTCCTCATGCTACCTCAACACATTCA